ATTTCGGGAAAATAGGTAGCTGGGCGGACATAGAAGAGCAGTGTATAGTGCATATTTTTCATGAGTCCACCTACTGGACTAGTCGATGAGAATGCCTCAGTTCCCACTGATGCAAGAAGATCCCATAAATTGCAGTTCAGCGTTTCTTTTGCATCTTTAGGTACAGTAAACACTCACTCTGAAAGAGATCGCTGTGTGTGACAGTTAGCTACTTTCCTATGCAAAATTCTGTTCTACATTGAAGTCGGTGTCATATGAACTGACTGTTCATCGATTTTTTACAAGACCTAAGCACACGATTGCGAAAACAATTGTGGTTTGAAAAGGTTAAGGTGTGTGATACAGTGGGTTTCTACAGCGATTCGGACTGGAATAAAAAAAAAGCATCATTGGAAATGCAAACTGCGTTTAACGCACAGCTGGACTGTATGTACGTAGCAAATCGAAAACGGTGGATGACGGGAACGATACTTTGTGAATGGTTGCTACAATTTTATTTACAATGGAAAGGTAGACTGATAATTCCACTGCTTGACGACTCACTAAGTGTTGATCAAGCTGACTAGCCTCGTAGCTTACCGCCAAATACGACGGCCAGGCGTCCAAAATTAGGCAGTGGCTAATTGGCTAATTCAGACGCGCCCACAACAAGTCGTCGACATGACGAGATAAGCTCCTAACATGCATAGAATGTTGTCTGGAAGGCGGGCATTGAGAGCCGTTGGTGTCACACAGGACCAGCTTGCGACCAAGTCCTATAAAATATGCCTCATCATTGCGAGATTAGAACTTCAGACATACAACGCAAAGACAACGGGGCCGAATGATTTTATTCAGCCTCACGTGGCCATGATGCGATTTAATAATAATAATAATAATAATACTAATAATAATAATAATAATAGTTCGGCTGTAACATCCATTCGGTGCCTAACTGCCATGCCACCCAAAGGAAGCACGAGGGCTGGGGTGTTGCCAGGTTGCCCAAGTCTAGACAGGGGAAGTCGACAGGCAGAGGTCGGGTTAGAACAACGGACTTCCGGTCAGTAAATTCGCGCTATAACCACTTGAGCCACCTCGCTATTTATTGTGGTTCTACCTCGATTCCACTTGTTGACACTGTTGTCCTCATAAGAACGTACCAATTTCACTAAACGAATCGAAATTGGTGAGAACAAGGCAAACATATGGATATGAGTGAGAACCAAAAGCAGCCTAAATTCATTTCATACCATTGGAAATAGAGAACAACAAGCATTCCCCTGCTCAGAATTGATGTGCACAAGTACACTACCCTGTAAAAGGGGGAAAGCGTCATCCAGTTGACTCTAGAAACACACTGCCTGTCGAATTCCAGTTCTATTCCGATAAATTCGTAATTACTCCATTTGGGCTGGCAACCAATTTCATCACTTTCCAGTGGGTGCTTCAGGGTGAGTCAAACTATACTGGGCAATGGCAAAGGGTCAGCTCATTCCTTCACGGCCGATACAAGACCAAACCAACTCAGTCGAAGTGTATCAAGCCAGGACACTGGAAAAACTGAACTGAGAAAGTTCAGAAAGTAACGTGAACCTTACCAAGAAACAGATCAGTACATTCCAAAAGAGGTATGCTCGCTCAAGGATAATTATTAGCAAGATAAGGATTCTCGTGTTTCGAGATACGGGTTCTCAAACTCGGACTCGCAGTTGCTGGTAAGGTTTCTGTAATAATCACTAGATAGTAGAACCCCTCAATAATGGAGGGGCATCGGAAAAAGCAACTGATTGCAGGGCGTCCCTTGTCAAAGAGATTTTGTAAATAAACATCCAAACACCCAAAGCCACAAGCGATATGTGTCTGTTGCACATTTTTAAGAGTTGAACGCAGCTATGTTCAGGAGCATCAAAGGGTCGAAACGTTAGCCCAATGATGAACCTCTGCTTTGTATTGGTAATCATTGGCTCTTGTTCCAAATTGCCCGAATGGGTTTTTCACAATGCTTGTAGCCGCAGAAATTTCCATGCGTACTTTGAAAAAAAAGGTTTTCAGCAGCGGAAGAGTACCGACAGTTTTCATAACTGACAACGCCCCAAATCTCACTGGTGAAACTTCTGATAACTGACTCCTTAGCATTGGATGCAAACATTGTTTCCTGCTCATAGACATTCCTGGTGCAGTGGGCAAGCTGGGAATTTTTTGAATACATTGATGATTACCACTTCCTTCTGTCGGGCCTTCACATTTAAGGAGCTAGAAAGAGGTGTTGATAGTTGACTCTTGCAGCGCAGTAATATATCTTACTGTGCAACATGTCAAAACCCTTCAAAACTACCCAGAGAACATTGTATGTGTTCTAATGCACGGTGTGTGAATTCTGACGAAGTGACCTATTACCTACAACCACAGACTGGTATTGTGCCAAAACAATACTGACCATCTCATGTTACGGACAGTGGACTTGACTGAGTCGTCATCTCACATGCGTCTTATTGATCAACTACATTTTGGAGATAGGTTCGGTGCATTCCAAATTCCGTTGTGTCGTTTTGTTCTCTTGGTATTTTCTTAAATATGGTGGACGATCAGCCAAACACACGCACGAAAGGAAGATATGAATGGTCGGAAACAAAAACTCGAATCGACCAGTGATTGTTAATAACTGAACCCGAACAATCATAATTCGTAAGATTCTATATCACAACTGACATTCTACACCAGTACAATTCAGTGCAATATTTAGCATTCACTTGTGGATTTAGAGATATGGTTGAATTCGGAAATGGTTGCGCAGTCATGCAATACATACTGAACATTGCAATCGTGAAAAGTGTAACGAGGTCTAAAATCCTTAAAAGCTTGAGATGAAATTATCGCACGAGATACAGACACTTTTCCTATCTGCGCCTAGTCGATCCTCCAGGCTTAGTATATATGCAGATTCATTACTAGGTACACCGGTATCTAGTCGCATCTTCTTTCACCAACGAGACTTAGGGTACAATTTACCAGCTATTTTGACGTTTTTAGAGCATTTATGGCGGTTGAATGTAATCATCCTAGTTGCCCTTCTACACTAGTCAGCAATGCCCTTACTGTGAACTTCAGCGAGAGGAAGGAGCACAAGGACATGGGTTGTTCAAAGCGTTATGACGCCCAGTAATTGCCACAAGTATAGCTGTAGGAAAACGTTCATCATCAAATCAGTTATAGCAAATACTCAATAAGAACACAACAGCATCACCAAAGAGAATGGAACAAAATACTAAGCATAGTTCCCAAAGACAACCTATATATTCATGCCACCATTAACGCGGCAGTGGATGAGTGAGGCACCAGCTGAGAAAGGCCACCGACAACTCAACGAACCTTGCACCGAGTCCGCATCCGATCGGCCCCCCTCCCTTCGAGGCTTTCGGAACGGCGTCAACAGCCCTGTACGAGAAACCGATTGTGCGAGCACTGCCGTAAAACAATGAGTGCCATGGAGATATTTCGTTTAGGTCTGTGTGGACGATTGGCGGAGCCTAAATCCAAACTAAGTGAAAATGTGTCCGCTATTTAAATCCAGTTTCTAGCTTAAAGCCTGGATTTTCCCTGCTGTTCTGAGTACTAGGGTCATGAGTAGTATATGGCACATGCGTCAACTCGCGTGCTGCAAGACCTGTCCGTCAGTCGCTCAATCGAAAAGGACCTGGCATTTCTGTCCAGCCCAATCAATGAACCACAGCTGTCCGTGCAGTGGCTGCGCACCGCCTCTGCTTTTCGGATACCCAAAAAGCACGTGACATTCCCTGCTGCTATTGGGTCCGAACGACAGTCCACATTGCGCGAGAAAGAAATGATTGGATGGACATGACAGACAGGCCAATGGCGGAACGTAAATTTGATTGGACGGCCTCGAGAGACAGGCCATCGGAACGGCACACCGCCGTAAAGTGGACGGACCACGTGCAGCGGCGTGGCCGCATTTTCCCGTGCGATGAAGGCTGGAGAGGTTCGCATCTTGGGCTTGGGAAATCCTCTGCTTGATTTGATGGTAAAAGCTGAGGGTGACATCTACGACCGGTATAAATTAAAAAAAGATGACGCATTACTGGCTGCTGAACATCACCTGCCACTATTCGATGAAGTTGCACAAAATCCCACAACCAGATATGCGGCCGGCGGAGCAACACTCAACACAATGAGAATGATAAAGTGGATTTTGCAAGAACCACATAAATGTACATTTATAGGGTGTATTGCCGCCGACGAAGCTGGAGAACGATTAAGGAATGAGTGCGAAAAATTGCAGCTTATGACCCACTTCGAAGTTACGCAGGGCGAGGCAGCTACGGGGAAGTGTGCGGTCCTTTTGCACGGCAAATGCCGGAGTATGGTGACGCATGTGGGTGCGGCTGCGAATTTGACTATGGATCATATTCTCAAGCCAGACACGTGGCACTCGATTGAAAGCGCGTCCGCCTACTATGTCGCGGTAAGTGCACATTCATTCATTTATTCATACAACCGATTTCCATGTCTAGGGGTTTGCAACCGGTACATGTTTTGAAGGTGTTTTAGAGGTGGCCAAGCATGCACGATCCCGTGGAAAATTGTTCGCATTCAATTTAAGTTCGCCGGCAATACTTCAACACTTCAAGGATCAGATGGACGCTATTTTCCCCTACGTGGATATTCTATTCGGAAATAGTAGCGAGGCCCAAGCATATGCGGAGCTGCACGAACTCTCAGGACAAGCGCTGGAGAATATTGTCCTAAAGCTTGCTTCGATTACCTCAGCCAAATCGGAAAATCCTCGTAAAAGAATCGTTCTGATAACCCAAGGACAAGACCCAGTGCTACTTGGGGAATCTGGAGGAAAAGAAGTAATGCACTTTCCCGTTTATCCCGTGTCCGATGAAGACATTGTGGATACCAATGGTGCCGGTGACGCATTTGTGGCTGGATTTCTGGCTGAATATTTGCGTGGTTCTTCAATTGAAAAGGCTGTGGAGGAAGCCATTAACGCTGCGCGGTACATTATACAGAGAAACGGGTTCACTTTAGGACCACGTGATCAGTACGCCTGAGTTTTTACACCAAATTTTGCATTTTTACCAGCTTAAACATTTTACACGGGCATACCTTTATGATCTCGAATGCCGTTCGAAATAAACGTGGTACTCCTGGAAGGACGTATACGTTATTTACTTTGACCACTGGATAGCTACTTTGACGTCCAGTCGAAAAGTCTATACCGTAGACCAGTTCAGAACCTAGTGGCACCCTCGCCAGCCTGATACGAGGGTCCGTGGGGGTGACCGCCGCGTCGAAGCCAAAAAAGTTCTCTACCACGTGCACCAACTCGGGATGGGTGATTAATTCTTTTCCTAGGGCCTTCGCTAGACCTGTAGAGGAAATTAAATAGGTTGCCTGTCTCATATAGATTCTAACCTTCAAAAGTCACGTCGTCGTGAGTTGGTCCGATTCCACCAGAGGTGATCACGACATCAAAACTGCGCATAAAATCATTTGCTTCCCGTGCGACCACTTCCACGACGTCTGGCAGGATGCTTATCTAGAAGGTTGATTCACTCTTATCAGACTTACCTTTTGCAATTTTAGTCCCAATGTTGACGCTGCTCGGCAGACCAAACGGGCGTTGGTCTCTTCCACTTTTCCAGTAAGGATTTCATTTCCAACCACTTGAAAAAAAGATGATTAAGCAAATATCTTGGAAAAGAAGGACGTCACTATGGGCGTGTTCGATATCTACGAAGTTAACGGGCATCTTCCTTTTGCCAATTGAGAAATGCCGTTATTTTTTAATAAACTGGTGAGCAGTCTGTTAGAACTTACTGTAATCCTGGGAACTAGGACTATGCTCCATATAGATCACTATCGGACCTACGGCGGATTCGACGAAAGGCATGGGGCGTGGTAGAGAATCCCACATCCAGAAACGCGTCTGCTCTAGTATTACACGAAAACCATGAGTGTTGCGAGTCCAGGTTGGGCAATTTTAGCATATCACTTGGCCTCAAACAGCGTGCAGTACGACAATGGGGTACAGTCTCTTCTGGTAGGGTCAGATATTCTCGCGTAGTTGGTAACCGGTGCAAAAAGTCCCAAGCTAGCACCTGTGATTCTGCCCCATTCACGGATGGGTAGTGACTCGCGATCAATATTTTAAAACTGTCCATTTTTGCATTTGTTGTCCATTACTGTCACCAATTTATCACGGAAACCATTGTTACATCCCTTTATTCTGTCGTAAATGTGCCTAGCTGCCATGCTAGCCGAAGGAGGCAAGAGGGTTAAAATACTGCCAGTTCTCCCAGGCGGGAACAGTTGCTGAACTTAATCCAGAAGACATTGTCTTGCCTGGAGTTTGCAGGTGAAATTGTGCTACTGCGCTCCAACCGAAAAGGTCAGTACATTTTCATCAAGCACAAGGGGAGTAAAAAAGAATTCGATCTCATAAAAAGTTTGGCATCTAGATCCGATTTGCTGACCAGCAATAATCAAACTGGTGGATGCTTATACCCAGTTGGAGAGCCAGAGGGAATCCGCAGAACCGAACGTGGTGCCATACCAAGGCGTTTGTCTCCTGTGAATTAGATTGGCGAGCGAAATACAGAGGCCTACTAACGTTATCAGCCAGTCTGAACACAGTGGGTATTTATGAGTCTCAACTCCAGCCACTTGATCTGCATCGAGTTACTGGCATCTCCCTTCAATCTCATTTAGTTTCAGCGCAATATATCACCTCAGCTAATGTGAGGTGATAACCTGGCTATTCCATTGATCATAAGGTCAATGACATCATTAAAATGATCATGTCAAACAGGCACTCATAGGAAGTATAACAAACGTGTGCCAGGTTCTTTAATGATTGAAACAGAAGATGCGTTTTTTCAACGGTTTTAAGGCAGTCACGATAGTGGGAATCCGGGCGGTTCGACTCCATTCTTCAGCTGACCAAGACAGGTTTCAAGCGGAGTGGGCTTCATAATGAGCTGATTCCAACAATGAGGTTGTAAAGACGTCCATGTTCATGACTTAACCTGTACATTAGATCCAGGTATTGCTGCCACACAGCAGTGAACAGGGCATAGTATTGTAAAATCTTGGCACCGATTAGTCCAAATCCCGTGCTGGTCTTTGCATTTGATGAGTTCACCTTAGCATCAAGCGTTACATTTGTGGATAGGGTCCTGTCGAAGTAGTGCTATACATATTTAGCGTGGTAACTGGTGTTTTGTGTGAAGCTTCAAATACAGACTGATTGCAGTTAAGTCGAAGTTGGATTTTGCTGAAATTCAGCTGCGAACTGTGCAAGCAAACCATATTCGTCCGCAAACGACAGTATACAAGTACTGGACTTGTGCAAGAGTGCTCTATATGACAGCGAAACATCATTGTTGGACATAGGTGTTATGCTCTTGAGCTGGTACCGTGTGGCACCTTATGTGCATACCACCTTGGAAAAAAACGGAAATCCTTCGGTAGCCCGAAGAGGACTTGAGCAGAAATATAGTCCCACAACACTCCTTCATCAATCTCAGTAATCGTAGTCATGTTAAGATTTTGAGCTGAAAATCCTAACTAATCTCGTGCCTAGGTTTAGGCGCCCTCACAAAAGCCCTGTCCATGTACAACTATGATTTGCACGATTACAAATTATCTCACGCCACATCCCAGCCTTCGTACCTCCTTCATGTGGCATGACAGCTAGGCACTGAAAGGGTGCTACAGCTGTACGATTTTCTTTTTCATGTGTGGTGACAGATTCCTTAAAATTTCCATTGTTCCAGTAGTTTCGCAACAACCGCCGTTGACTTGCAACCCCGTTCTTGAGCAAAATGCGCGCCCCAATAGCTCTCCCGCTTCAATTCATGCGTTCTGGCAGTAGCTCAGTCCATATGCGGCTCCGAACCGCACACATGGCTTTATTTTCACTCCAAAGCGGCTGTCTCGTGCTGGCATCAGCCGAATGGCCTTAGTTGTTGCACCGCTCTAATTCGTCTCCCAAAAATCGTCTCGTCGCAACCCTTAATCCGCGAAGTATGAAACAGCAATCGTGTCTAGCGAGACCCTTGAAACTTTATCAATACACATTTGCTATGTTTCGGGACTCGAATACATGACCCCAAGATACTTATTAACTATAGACTACCGCCTAAGAAATTCAAGCTGCAGCGGGGGAGGGGGTTGGAAAGATCTCAGCACTCGAGCTGCACGATGCATATTTGGCTGAATCTCTGTAGATACCGTACTTTTCAGCTTTAATAAAAACTCACGTTGACCGAAAGAATGTTCATGTTTCACTAGTGCTTTCTACGTACGCACGTACTAACAGTAGTTCCGATTTCGTGAAGGAACTAATCGCATGAGGATTTGATATGCTGTCCCAGTCACCCATGATCCCAATACACGAGTAGAATATTTCGGTTCATTCGAGGGGCTACGTGGTGGGCTGCTCACCTGAGATTCAAAAAGCAACAAAACAGTTATCGTTTTTTGCAGATTTGCTCAGTAGTACTAGGCTAAGATGCAGTAGACGCTTGGCATCCCCGAACCCATAAGCGACCATGGAGCCAAACCGAATATAGCCAATAGCGACTGACGGCAGGTCTCTGTTGTTAACTATTAATATTTCATGACCACTCAAGTTGACTCATACCATGCCCTCGACTGCTGTAGGCTTTCGACGTGTTTCCCAAAGGCCTAAAGAACGAACTCTTCATTTGGCCATAGAACTTTCTGAAACACAAGTTAAAAGATGTTATCAAACAGGCCTGTGCGAAGCTTTGGAAGCCGCACTCAGGTGTCACTCACCAGCACGACTACTCAAATGACAGGAAACTCGGCACTTGGTGTTTCAGAGAGCTCACAAAACAAACACAGGATTTCAGAACAACTACTGTTGCTCCTCAACGCGAGATGCTGTGCCGTTAAGGGTGCCTAGCCTAATTCAGCCAGGTCTGTTAGACGTCAGCTCAAGCATCTTTTGCGTGCGGACGGATAAATCGGTGGAGTCAGAAAAATCTGGAAATGGAGGTAGCGAGCGTAGCTGGGACTGTTTAGCATGATACACCGGGCAGGAAAAACGGTTGTCGGTGGGATCATAAATGATATAGATAGGTACCACGGTCCGGCGTCCTTATGGGCCGAGTAGTTTCATTGGTTGCTTGCCTTCATGTTCGTCTTTAATTCTATCTGCTCAACTCGAGACCTCGTCTGAGACCTGCTAGAGTTTATGAAGCTCTATTATGTTTCTGCCTTGGAGCGTTGTCAGGCCGCATGGCCAGATGAGGGTGATTTAGAGAATGCGGCGAATCTCCCTTGCCTTACCAAGTAGTTTAAACTAATCTGGGAGCAACAACGCGTTCCAAAAATTGCAGCCAACCAACCTTTACGCAAGGGATATTGGGAGCGACCGTAGAGGTGTACGCCTTCCTGCAGTTGTAACTACCAGATCAACAGATACTGCGACACCTGACCTCGTCACCCTAGGCCCAAGTCAGAAAGCATCAGGTAGAATTTTGACCATGTAGGAAGTGCACTGACCGTATCCTAGCATAAGATTTTCGAGCACCATCATCATCGACAGCATGACATCAGTGTTCAACACTGATCCTTCGCTGCCGTACAACCATGATTTATTTGAAAGCCTTATTATAAAGAAAAGAGTAAAGGTGAACGGGAAGTGCTAGCTTATCGAGGTGCCTACACCTCCAGACATTCACTCAGGCAATCTGGATAGAAACTGACAACAAGAACGCCATTGAAATCGGTTGGTAGCCATATCTTGTAGTGTCTCCAACCAGGCACAGTGAGGATCACGCGGTCCTCATCCTGGAAGGCGAGTAGCACCGACAGCAACCAAGCGTTTCGTGATCTCGTTCATACTCATCTGCCAGGTCAAGGGTTGGCCACCTCTCTGATTACGCCACTCTGAGTTGGGCATGAAAAACAGCACCCTCTTCGGCAAACGACGGTTCGGCATACGCAACACATGTCCCAACCAACGCAGCTTCTGGTGCTGGAAGTACCCGTTACACAACCCAAAACGCGCTTTCTAACTGCCTCGTTACGGATTCGCCGACACCAACTCACACGAGCTATAGTTCTGAGACAATGATTGTCAAACACCTGAAGACGTCTCAGGTCCGCTGCTCGAATAGGCCAAGTCTCACAGCCATACAACAAAACAGCCCGTACTGTAGCTTGATACACACGTCCCTTCAGATTCAGAGATAAACCATTCTGACGCCATAGGTGTCTCAAGTTAGCAAACGCGGCCCGAACTTTGCAGATTCGTGCCTTCACCTCATCTGCCACACTACAATCAGAACTAATACAACTTCCAAGATACGTAAAACGCTCCACAACTTCCAGTACCTCTCCCTGGATTGTAAGTGGCGTGTTCAGTGGCTGCACTTCCACAAGCATGACCTTACACTTTGTGGGTGCAAAGTGCATAACAAAGAACGGGATGACTTCGGTCACAACACGAGTTCATTCATGGCACCCAGTGCCAGTTCACACAAAGCCCTTAACACTATGCCCTGAATTATTTTGAAATGGCTAGGGTTTAGCAAACAGGACTCGAGCCTTGCAAATTCGTGCATTCACCTCGTCTGTCACACTACAGTCAGAACTAATACAACTTCCAAGATACGTAAAACGCTCCACAACTTCCAGTACCTCTCCCTGCATTGTAAGTGGCGTGTTCAGTGACTGCAAGTCCACAAGCTACTGCTGACGCATCTTACACTTCCACGTTTTCCGTCTTTCACCCCACCCCACCCAAGGCTGAATATTTTCTCCACAGGTTCCAGCACTAGGACTGACGGTTTTGCCCGCCCTGCATCACACTTAGCTGCTACTTCTGTACGTCCGAGTTCAGTACCAACCCTAAACACTTCGAAGTCTGTTTTCAAACCCCGTTTATGTTCGCACACTGAAACAAGCATGTTGAGAGGTGGCTCTTGCTCGTACACGGGATTACCTCTGCATTGATGTATGTTGTTTGTCAGAAATAAGGATGAAGAGTGCAAGTACTGCGATCGAGCTGACTGCCCCCACGCTCTCTTCCAGGTTCCGGTTGTGCAGTGGCCGCTGCAGCTGGATATGCTGGCTTTCGTATCGTGTTTAGCATTCACCTCATCTGTCACACTACAATCAGAACTAATACAACTTCCAAAATACGTAAAACGCCCCACAACTTCCAGTACCTCTCCGTGGATTGTAAGTGACCTGTTCATTGACTGCACGTCCACAAGCATTACCTTACACTTTGTAGGTGCAAAGTGCATACCAAAGGACGGGATGACTTTGTTCAGTTCACCCAAAAACACCTGCGCCTTCTCTTCGAATATGAGAACGATGTCATCTGCATATTCCAGATCGACAAGATTTTCTTCACAGGCTATTTGAACACCAGGGTTTTGGAGACCCTGCAGCGTTCGAATCATTATTTCATCGATCACAAAGTTAAAAAGGAATGGAGAGTGGGCACCCCTGACGGACACTGCTTTGTGTACGGAAGCTTTTGGAGAGCTCTCCGTACATTCTCACACGTCCGTAAGTATGAGAATACAAAGAACGTATTATGTTTACAAACTTCCGGGGCATTCCTTGGTGGACAAGCGTCTCAAGAAGAACAGACCAATCAACCGAGTCGAATGCGCCTCGGAAATCCAGGAATACTAGAATTGTGGGTCGCTTGTACGTATGGCGTTGTTCTAGCACCTGACGCATTGTGAAGATTTGGTCAACGCAACCCCCACCAGGCCGGAATCCCGCTTGCTGCTCTCGAGTCAGTATATCGCGAGCCACTGTAAGGCGACGAAACACAATTGACACCAACAGTCTCGTTACAACCGGGGTCAAGCTGATCCCCCTGTGGTTGCCACACTCACTACTCGCATCAACAGCGTCACACATATCACCGAACAAATATGTCGTTTTGCCCTGAGATCAGAGGAGCCTTCGACCCGGTGGATAGATTGGTTCTTTTACATGTATCTGGTCATGGAGAAATGCTCTCGAAGTTTGGATATCCCTCGTGTCATCTGTTTCCACAGTTCCGGTCATCTTAGGGTTTGCAGTGATTCACTGGAAAGCTCCTCCTAAACTAGTTAGGTTCACTGTGATTCTCTGATTTGTTGCTTTTTGTCACTGACGCGCAGTGGGTATGGGTGTCAAAATCACATCTAGGGGACTGTTGGTGTACTTGGATTCTCTGGATGCCAGTTCTGTTATTTGACAATGTTGCATTCACACAGTCTACCTTAAGTATAATATTGGAAGTAGTCCCTCGTTTGGTATCCTGTTTGTGTCTTCAAGATGCATAGTCTTCAGGAATTCCCTCTACCTTGAGCCCTTGTAAAACTGGAATTAACTATCCTGGTAACTGCAAAGACCGTGAATGCACTGCGGAAGAGAAGTCAATACGCCCATCATCATTTCATAAGCAATATCCCCAAACGGCGTCATCTTTCTCACCAAATGTCACTGAGGTTGAGGGACCGTATCTAAAAAAACTGTTGTGAAAGCAGACCTAACCTGTGATTGCAAACACGGGCCTCCTACAGAAAATTTCAGCCTCACCACTGACGGCTCTGTAGTATAATAAGCATTAACGGACCGCAGCAAACAAGCAATGTAACAGCGCGCAATCGAGTACTGCGTTATGAGTCGGGCTTCAACATCATCATAATCAAAGACAGCAAAGTCAGTATTGGCACTGATGCTTCGCTGCCGTACAACCATAAGGTTCGTCTAGTTATATATATAATTATACCAAAAGCCCTAGAGTGAAAAGAAGAGAGAAAGAGTGGGTGAGGGACGGGACTTAGTTCTGGAGTATGCCAAGCATTCCGAGGTACCTACACCCCAAACGGCTCAATCAGACAACCTGGAAAAAAACTGACAGCACGAACGCCACTGACATCGACTAGCCGCCATTTCTTGCAACGTCTCCAGCCAAGCACAGACGGAGTCACGAGGACCCCATCCTGGAAGGCGTACAACACCAAGAACGCCCAAACTCTCACGCCTTTTTGCCAAGTCATGCGCGCCCACCTCCCGGTTTGTGCCATCTTGAAGGAGGCACGGAGAACAACACTCGTCTTAGTTGATGGTGTTTTGGCATGGGTAGCACATGACCGAGCCATTGTAGTCGATGATTCTGAATGTTTTCTCGGATTGAAGTACCTGCACCACAACCAAATACCCGTTTCCTAATCACCTCGTGACTAACACGTTGACACCACTTAAAACCAATCACGCTTCTGAGGCATCGGTGGTCGAAAACCTGAAGACGCCTCAAATCATCTGTCCGCAGCGGCCACGTCTCGCACCCATACAACAACACAGTTCTTATTGTAGTCTGGTACACACGACCCTTGATATTTAGTGAGACACCGTAAGACGACGAAGGATCAGTGATACCAGAAACCTTGTCACAACAGGCGTCAAACTCACACCTCTGTGGTTACTACATCCACTGCGAGTACCCTTTTTGAGAATAGGCAGCACTATCGATTCACCCGTTGTCTGGGACAGTCTCCTTCTCCCAGATAGACCCAAATAGGCTAGATGGGTACTGGCTGAGGAATCCAACATCATACTTGAAAATAGCAGGTGAAAAGTCGTCAGGACCAGCAGCACGATGAAGCTTAAGTAGAGAAATACATTCGGACACTTCTGAGACTGAAGACGGCCCCATATTTACGGTCCAGCTTTCTGTTGGATGCCGGGTTTTTGTATTGGAAGTAGCAGATGGCCAGCTTAACTGTTGTTCGAAATACTACACGTTGTGCTTGGCTGCATATCAGTCATTTTGGTATCTGATTATTTCACTAACAAGAGGTTTCCGAGGACCAGTCGAACGAATCAAGTGGAACGGCTTGCGTACGTTTCCAGCATTCTTTGCATCTTTCAATTCTTCAGCATTTCGGGTCCACCAAGTTTCTCGATCTGCGCGGACACTCAGTTTCACCTGACGTCGGATTATGCACCGGGTGGGGTTGTGGTGGCGGCCAGGTGGAATCTATCGCCCGGTCTCCAGCAGACACGGTACTATTGGAGATCTAATGCTTGGGTGAGGTTGGCTGGGTTGTACCACTTTGAGTAGCGCTTTGGATATTTTTCCCAGTGGCCGATTATATCCGACACCATGCCGTCCGGCAGGCATTCGAGGAGATGGTTCTGATATTTTCGCTTGACTTCTTGGCCCACCACCTTCTCAATGGCTAAGCAAGATATGCGCGATTCGCGTACACGTGAAAAGCGCAATCAAAAGCAGCAGCGTAAAAGTGCATGATGAGAGTCCACGCTGGAGTTCCAGAAGGAGCGGCAGGCCGTGATCGACCCTCGCGACCGATAACTCACGGCGATTTGATCTATTTGGATTCGGCGCTGGTTTGTAGGTGGGCACCAAGTTGTTAGGCGATTTACGCTGTTTCGGAGATCCGTACTGCAAAGTAACAGTCTGTGATCGACACACATCTGAAGTCCCCATTGTCCGTGCGTGTCGTGTCCAAACCAAGACGACCACCCAATCGGACCTCAGTAGCGTTTAATCTACCTACCTGGGCGTTCATATCACCAGCAACCACAACGATATAGTTGGGGCGTAAGCAGAAACAATAAACAAGGTGCGATGAACCTCACTTCCTCTAGATTCTCTCACCGATGTTGCCAAACGAACCGCACAGAGGCGACTGTCTACGGGTGTCCAATCAAGCAGAGACGCCTCCGCTCGTTCGCCCAATACAATACCCAGCACAGCATATCCAGCTGCAGCGGTCTCTGCATCACTAGAGGTGCGCAGCCGGAACCTGGAAGAGAGCGAGGGGGTAGTCAGTTCGATCACAGCACTTGCGTCCTGCGTCATTGTTTCTGACAGACAACATACATCAATGCAGAAGGAATCCAGTGTGCGAGCAAGAGCCACCTTTCAACCTGCTTGCTTCAGTGCGCGAACATTGAAAGTGGCTAAGAGACAGGTTTTCGGGGTTTGAAAACAGACTTCGAAGTGTTAATGTTTGTTATTGAACTCGGAGGTGCAGAACCTGCAGATGAGTGTGATGCAGATCGGGCAAAACGGTCAGCCTAGAGCTGAGACCTGCGGAGAAAGTATTCAAATTTGGGCGGGGGTGGTGGAAGACGGAAAACGTGAAAGTGTAAGAAGGGAGGCGTCAGCAGTAGTCTGTTTTCGCCTACCCGCCCTGCTGTATGCAGCAAATAAGGCGACCCGGCTGATGGCACTACGCGGCGGCCGATGAGGCATGAGATTAGTGTTAGTTGTGTATGTCATGGTTGTATGAGGGCTAGGATACTGTCAGAGGGTCCACACCTAGACAGGAGGACGACTAGGGTCCTCAACCAAAGCCTTTGGCTCAAAAGCCTAACCGCAAGGCACCGGCGTTGAGCTTGAAATGCAAGTATATAACCGTTTTTACGGAACACGTCGCCATACATGTTCCAACCCCCAACCTGGAAGGCCAGGAGAATGTGTTCATCAGATCTCTACCCATGGACCAACCTGATATGAGACTCTGAGTGTCGCGCGGACACCCCCAGTATAGCACCCAGTGAAGCATCAGTGGCAACACTGATGTTGCTGTTGATTTGATTTGAGTATAGCTCAACGGGTTGCCGAGGTACACAAAACGCTTCAGTGCTGCAATGACCCTAAGGACTACACTGGTTATAACTCAGTTCCTCAAGGTTCAACCATGCCTAGAAAGCCAACGTGCAGCAGTCCAAAGAAGAGGAGCGAGTCTTTATACTGCGAGTTGTATTACCAGGCGGTTCAGAGGTGAAGTCCTATTGTTCTCTACAACAGGGATGTGAAAGCAGTAAGGTGTTTCCTTCAGGCGACCAGCAGATCCGTATTCATAGGAGGAGCAATGTTTCCTTCCCCGAGGAAGGACGGATAAGAAAAAGTCGGCCATAGAAACCGATCACTCAGCGGTTGACCGTGACTGTCGGCGCATTATTCGATCCTGTCGAACTACTTTTAAGACCAGAGTATGGTGATGCTCAGGAGCCACCTGATGTCGCACTAAGAGTTAGGTAATTATGCCTTATTTCCTGCGACCTCGAGCCAGAGCGGCCCCCTGCAGCTAACTACATTGGCTCCGGGAAGAATCCCCAAAGCCCTAACAACCACAGTTCCGAGTTTCTAGTCAGAGGCTAGGGGAAGGAACCACGACAACCGGCAAGTATCATTCGACATCCGGCCCCTCCTTCCCGGCCCTCAGTCACATCTTATCCCCACCCATCAAATGATGCACTGCGGTCAACCCATCTGCCAGCCTCCTACTCTTGTTAAGTGTCTAAATTATTACCCGGTAAAATAAACCAACATAAATCCTCACTAAACTGGTTTATTCTGTGGCAATACGCCGTGGCATCTATGACGTGGGGGGTTGCACTCAGTCCCACGGCTGGATTCCAACAGTCACCTTTGCGCCTCACGGTTGTCCGGCTCAATCAACAGCAATGCAGGTCAATGCGATAAGGGGTGTTTATTTGGCGTATCAGCATATGCCCCAACAAACTGCAGTTTTAGCGAGATCTGTCGCGACTGCGTCGGTTGGCAAGAAGGACGGGTACAGTGATCTTGGCGGGTCATATGAACGTCCAAGTTGGACGACTAAGATGGGAAAAAGCCCAATTAAGTTGCAGATTTAAAGTCGGTGTTCAGCGCAGGGAGCGAGTGCTTCAGTTGTGTGCAGATCATCGTCTGTTCCTATCCAGTACGAACTTCCAGCACAGACGCTCACATCGAGTTATTTGGATATCACCAACCGCAAGACAGTCTTGGACTAAACTGGACCATGTGGCTATCAGTTACCGACGGAGAACCACAATTAAAAACTGTCGTTCTGGAGTACGCAATTTGACTTTGATTATGCCACTGTGCAGGCCCCTTATGTCAGCCTTATGCGTGCCGAAGCAAAGGAACCCCGTCCACCAGCTTCAGCAGGTTTCAATAGCTCAACAATATTAAGCCGATCTGACCGGAAGGCCACTGGAAGCGCACAGTCACGCTGACGATTATTTGGAGGATAAATTGGAGGGTGAAAGGAGGTATATTCCCATCTCTTAGGACTGTTTGTTCAAGCCATCCGTTTCGACTATGTGGACGCCGTATATCATCGAAACTAGATCTTATTACAACTCCGACAGCCATACTAACAACTAACAACTGCGATGGTGCAGGTAGATCCCTCAAGCACCGATTAGTTAAGAGCTTGAAGTGTGGCAAAACAATCAACATCAGATCAGTCGCCCGAGATCATCTGATTATATTCTGACGAAACGTTGGCGACGTAGGTCACGTCAAAGCAACGAGTTTGGTCAGATATAAATCTCTTCGGGACCGGGCGCATCAAACCTTATTCAGCAGTAGTACATTCTGTTGGTTGGAAAATAAACGCCCTCGTGCTAACTGCTTACTTTGGCGCATCTGTTTTTACCTCATACCAAGAAACTGTATGCCATGTGGACCTTGACTGAGGCTCAGGTTAGTCCTAGACAGAAGAGAACGCCATAGATGTTTCGAGCTCACGTCTGCACCAAACAAGGAGATCCATGGTATTTCCCTGACACGAACGTGATTTTTGGGGTTCAAAATAAGAAGCTGCAGTGAATAACTCACACTGCCAACCTGGGTTGCATTAACACCCAACCGTTAGAAACCCTATTTGATTCGCTGCCCCGAGTCCCACAATTCGTTTGCCGGTCCTCGAGCGGATACAAGTGTCGTAGGCTAAACAGCGGGTCGACTGGATCCTCTTGATATTGTGATGCACCCTACCTGTGCGCGTTTCGACAAGTGTATTCACGTCATTGTAAGCAGTGGCCCGTCCTGAAACTCAAAATAAGCTAGGAATAGAACGTGGGAAACAAGACGCGGTCTTCTACGGGAGCGGTTTTGCATAAGATTACTGTTGCTCACTTTACAGGCAAGCTAAGCCCTGAGTTAGATGTTCAATATATGGTCAGCCTTGTAAAGCACTCAAAGGAAGCAAAACCACAAAAACTTGAGGGAGCCATCAACGTTCGATTGATTGATTAACACAGCAAATAAGAGTAAACAGTCATAATTGTAGGGAATGAGCCTCACTGATTTCTTAAATGTCAGAAGCTTTCCTTGAAAAGGTCACACCTACAAGTCCAGCTTCGCTGTCCGACAGGACAATAGAAACGCACAAATAGTGAGTTTGCCGAAGATCTGAGTGAAATGGCGGTAATTCATGTGTACAAGTAGTTACATCCAGTTGGTGTGAATGTATCCATATAAATTAGATCGACTTTTGGATGCCACGGAGCCTTAGTATCTCATCTGCTAAATGGCGAATTTGTAACCGAAACAACGGCATGTGGGACATGTACATAGGGGCTATATAGAATAACGTATACTGGTGGATAGATGTCATGGTCGAGGTTCTTTGTGTATACCATTCATTGGACAGAGGAAAATGTAACATACAGTAATCTCCCTAGGAGAGACCGCAATGGAGAGAGATGAGGATGGCAGCTCTTTGGGTGGATCACGCACTCAAAGGTGACTGAGAGAAATCCCTGTTGTTACATAACGGAGTTCTTTTGGGAGGGACTGGAGAACGGTACATCCTACTCGACAGCTTTGGTTGCACGTTTTTTCCAATGAGGTTCAAGCAGTGCATGGTGAAAATATAGGTGCGGTCTTCTTCGCCAATTTTTATCAAAATTGCACATTCAGTTTCAGCCAGGAAGCAACTGTGGTGGTTTATTGTACGTCAGCAGAATGGAACAAATAATAATAAATCTATGTACCTATGAGCCCCAGGGATCGCGGAAGCATACTCGCGACTGAAAACAGACGGCAGCAAAGACACATTCAGGCTTTTGAAACCCGGGGTTCCGATGAGGTGGCTGAAATGGAAAGGAAATATGTTGCCTCTAAGTAGGAAAGTAATAGCCCTCGCACATAGTCTGTGAGGATCAAGCACGGATTGTGAATGAGAACCAAACAATCTACAAGCATTCAGTTTGTTTAATTAGTTGGTTCATTCATATTCACCAGACAAAGGATTTCGAAATCGACACCGCTAAATCAATTGAGGACTTGGTTAATCGGTCGGGCCATGAAACCACATAAGCGCTGAATGGGATTCAACTCTTTCTAAACGGCAATCCAGTTGTCAAAAGTTAGGTTCGAGGAAAGCAACGCATAGGGACAGGACTAAGTAGTCACCTTTCTGCTCGGTATGATGTGCGGCAAATTGTAGCCACTCCCTCATCGAGTAAGGAACTTATACGATCAAGTATGTAAAGCAGTATGTGCACAAATTCCTTGCTTAGCGTGAAGTGTACTGGTGGGCCAAACGGGTTGCCGGTTAAAAAGTTACAAAATGAGAAAAAACATCATGATCATGATCAGCTGTAAGAACCGCGTACTTGTCGTACGGCACCACAATTGTCTCTAACCATTGATATGGCCCGTCTCGGGTCTCCATCCAGGGAAACGGCAATGACCAGCGCAGCTGATTTTGCTGGTAATGGCTTTTATATTTTGCCGCCAAGTCATCGTTTGACCTTCCCTGGCACGTTTCGCACCGGCGAAAACTAGAGATGTGACTATTTTCACTCGTTTAAGAATTTAATTCACACTACAGGCGATCTTCTCAAACTTGTCGCTTCTACCGATCGCTGTATTAGTGAAAGGCTCAATGTACCGTGACTTTTCTTGCAACATATCCTCTACAACTATGCTTTTCCAGCCATTTCTTTCTACCAACCTCTACCGTACCCATAGTTTGTCTAGTTGACATTCAGGCGTGGACGGTACGTCATCTAAACCCTACAACTTGGTCATCCGTTGCAGGTATTGCCCGAACACAACCCTCTTGAAGTAAGCATAGAACTCCCACTCTTTGGTATAGCATGCCTGATGAAAATTGGTAACCAGAAACGCGGTGAGGGATGAAGCAGAATAATTGAAAAATCGACCAGTCCAATTAGCAAGTTTGCTTTGACGACTGACGAATTACACTGAAAGAAAACGTGGCTGGGCGAAAAATTAACATAAAGTATCGTTTTTACCCGCTGTTATATTTAACAGGATTTAAATGTACCTCCGCAGTTTTTAAGAATACAATGCTGGGCCCCACCGGTATAATCATAAGCACGTATAGATCATGATTTAATTGCAGCGCAAATGAGTAGTAATCCCGTCCGAAAAGAGAACCCTCGAAATAGGGAGAGATATACCATTAAAAATAAAATTTTCGAACTAATTATACCTATGGAGAAGGCAGACGCTAGAGTTTTTACTGCTTTTGAAAGAAAGATGCAAGGTTTTGTGAGTCTCCGATACCAGTCGAGTCCTGTTTTGAGGAACATCTTTTTTATCCGTATAAATTTGATGGTGAGTGGAGACTACCACGACCATCTTTTAGAAAGCGAGTCCAGAGTTGAAAAATCCATAAACTACATGAACATGAGCTTCCAAGCTTACCGAGCAACTACGAAGACCAGTTTTACAGCAACGTCGGGAAATTTAGACAAACATTCTGGAGACAATCTATTGCGCCATAATGAAACTGGAAGGCAAGAACACAATTATGACCTGGTACGAGGATGCTAGATCAAAGACAACACTCCGAAAAGACTCCGCGTTCACAGAAAGATAGAAATTTTCTATCTCCGTGATGATGTCTGTTAGAAATTACTGTACCCTTCTTCACTCTGCCGGCAGTGAAGCATCGGTGTTGAACACTGATGTCATGCTGTCGATGATGATGATGACGACTCCGCCAATGAATGATATGTCATGCTTCGATGATGATGATGACGACTCCGCCAATGAATGATTCTACCACTCTCGTTATTTCAACCTGAATCGAAATGATTAATATTTTCTGCACGTTCCTGACAGAGAGGATGTTATATACAGGAAGACGATTGCCCTCAAATTGAAAAAAATAAGTAGGAGGATGTGTAAAAACGGCCACAAAAATATCCGAGGTTCGGGAAAACCGGCTCCAGCCAACTGTAGAAACAAGGGCTCGCTAGAGAATGGTGCGACAGTGCTCAGAGAATAGTGGTAAAAGTCATTTTTGAAGCTTGAAGATGCCAAAACATCACCATTGATTTTGTTTCACTAGAGTGATAAGCCTTTCATAGTAGCTTGAATAAGAAGGGTTTGGGCTTATTAACATCCTCCTGAGAGATGTGCGTATGCGACAATGTACAGTGCACGCAAGCCGAGACTTATCAGAACACACACGGCTCCATCTACGCAACTGACAAACTGATGACCGGAGATTCGCCATTACTTTCAGCTTTCTTCATCATCTGATCATATTCTTTGCATTCTACAAACTTCAACTTGGCGATTGTTCGATGGATGGAGGCATATCGGTGTTTCTGTTCATTTGTTTTTGCCTACTTGTGAGTAGTTTGAGAGTTTCCAAAACCTTTGTACTCTTGTTCCTACCAGACTGAAGAGCTCGTAAGAGTTCCCTGCAACTGCGAACCTCAATTTCCGAAAACCGACAGCCAAGAGTATAGTAGCCTACTCATCTTCCGGGCATTGTTCAAGACTGTGCACATTGAATCACTTTCTTCAACAAAGTCCCCTCCAGCTAATGAGTACGTCAAGTTAAATATTCTCACGGTTTCATTCAAAGATATTAGGATTCATGAGTTGCAGAAACAGCTCGGCGTGAGCGTGATCCAGAGAGTTATAGTCAGAAAACGATTTCCACGTGTTCGATATAAACCATCATCAGTGCCAGCAATACAGCAGCTATATAAAGCCTCAGTAGAGATAGAAGGGTAGAGGATTAGTGCGAAGACGCAATACGCCGCCTACATCTTTGAACAGAAGTACATTAAACAAAACCAGTGCATCTAAGCATTATATCGAAGTAAAGTGCCATTATCGGGACTGATCCGGAGTACCTTGCGAACAGCACTCGACCAAATACCAGTGCGCAACAACGGCTAGGAAATGACAGTATGGACGCCACTAGGCCTATCCAGGAAGGTGTGAATATCCTAGAGTCCACAGAAGCCGCCTTCAGTTCCCGTTACCATGTCATGGCGTCCACCCCGAGGACCTCTCGCCAACAGTCGCTCGGAAGGCAACACAACGCGTCCGTCGGTAGATGGTGGTTGGGCATCTGTAACACAAGCCCCAATCAGCTCGAACTCGCAGGCTTAATCCGCTGCTCTGACAAATTGGATTAGTTACCATATCCCTATTTCAAAACAATTAATCGCGCACTTAGTGCAGTCAGCCGATTGTTGCTATGCCACCAAGACACCAGCGACCAAACAATTCAAGACGCCTGCGACCTTCGGAGCCGAGTCTCACGGCCATGGACTAAGACAGCCCTTACAGTCCTTCCTTAGCTTAGACAAGACTTGGTCCTCACTCTATAAATGACGCAATTCGGAGAAAGCAAATTGCGCCTGCTTATCGACGCATTAACTTTATCAATCAGGACTCATATAGCTGCCGAGAAGTGAACCAGCCAGAAACCTGGAACACTCCAATGTGAAATTTCAGAGAAGCACAAAAGAATGGGATGTATTGAGGTAAGTATTTTTACTCTGTAGTAGCAAAGCGTATACACTTATGGCTGCAAATTTGGACGACAAATGCTTAAAGAACAAATGCGCTTTCAGAACTGTATATCCAAACAATCCCACTCCGCAAAATGAACACTAGATATCATCCAGAGCAGCAGATCTTATTGTTACCGAAATGGCCGCACCAGCAACCACCTACTGTGATGGTGCACCCAGGTCCCTCAAAGACCTGATAATTAGGAACTTGAAGAATGACAGAGAATGCTGGTGAATCTCGAAGGCTCTGGAGATGGAGAGGACTTTTGCTTTCGATCAACAGGTCAAAAGAAGGCAGGTGTCAGTGAAGAAATAAGCAAAAAAGACTCAACAGCAATTCAGTTCCTTGATCGTTGTCTTGAGCGATGGGCTGAGAACTTCAAAGAACGGTTCAGCTGATCTTCAACACAACCGTTGGAAGAACCCAGTGGGCCTGAATGGAGCATCAGCACCACCCCACCATCAACAACAGAAATTCAGCATGAGATATCAATCCTCCAATGCGACAAGACACCTGGTGCGGGTGGTCAGTACCCCGCACTCTTAAAAGGTGGCGAGGTCCTGGTGAACAGTCTGAATATTTGGAACGAAAACAGAACACCGGCCGAATAGAGTCCTCAACCTCCATCTCAGTTTTCAAAAGGGACATAAGAACGTCATGGGTAAACCACCGTCGCGTCAGCCTGGTATTTGTCGAATCTAAGGTGCCCTCTGGCATCATTTTGCACAGGTTGGTCGATTGCCGGGAGGGATAGACTCGTGAGAATCGAGCCGAGTTGCGACTTGGCTGAGGATAAATCGACCATATCTTTACCTTCATACAAATCCTTGAACAGCAGTACTCCCTGAAACGTCCCACCTGGTCACTTTTCTTGATCCGAAAGTTGCTTTTGACTCTGTCGGTCGTCAGAAACTTTGGCCGTGTCTGACGATCAATGGTATCCCTTCCAAATTTACCTCCCTTATGAGGGCATTGTATGCGAACTCCTGTGGACGCGTACGAGTATACGGCAAGCTTTCGCCTGAGTTCACCACATCCAGTGGTGCAAGACAAAGCTACCCTCTATCACCTTTCATCTTCAACTTTGTTATTGATGTGCTGCCTGAAATTCCCTGCCTGCCTTTGGAACCTTGGGGATCGAAATGCTCCTGGAACGTTTGCTCACAGACATTGAGTATGCGGACGCTCTCCTTGGTTGAGATCCTTCGGAAGCGCAAACTATTTTAAATAACCTAAATAACTCTGCCATGCGGTTTGGCATGCGCCTCACACCTTCAAAGTACAAGGTGCGGCTAC